AGCGAAGGTAGCGGAAATCTTCGGGTGACTTGGGTTGGAGGAGTATACATCCCATTCGTAGACGTCGGGTGCGTTCAGGGAATACTCGGGCATGAGGTTTGTAGTGGCGGATGAAGTTAGCCGTGTCCCGCGGCGAGAAGTCGAGTGGTAGTCCGTCGATGATTAACGGCGGCGTAGGGTAAGAGACAGACTGCATACTGGCATGTATCAGTGTCGATAGCTAGCGAGAGAATGACCTTCCTATAGCTATAGAAGTTGTCTTTATTTGTGCAATTTTTCTCTGGTTCCAATTTCATCTACTTGTAAACAAGTCTTTACGAGGCACTTCTATAGCTGGTGCTAAACTAGGCTGTCACCGTTTTGTCTTTCCGCAGTTAACCTTGCGAGTTTACCAACTCAACAATAACCTGAGAAGATGGAGCGCCCCCAGTGGCACAGCGGTATGTCTGCGGACTTACAACACTAGAATCCTGGTTTCGATACCCGTGGTAGGCAGAGCACAGATAGCCCACCGTGTAGCTTTGTGCTTAATTACAAATAAACAAACGAAGATGGAGCTATCATTATCCAGACTTGCCTGACTCTGTCACTGTATCTATGGTTGTCATTTTGTCTTTGTGTTATGCTTCATGAACTTAAAATAGTTAATGCACCAATTTTCAATATCTGTAAGCGAATTGTAAGATATGTTACTTAATTACAAACAAACAAACGAAGATGGAGCTATCATTATCCAGGCTTGCCTGACTCTGTAACTGTATCTATGGTTGTCATTTTGTCTTTGTGTTATGCTTCATAGATTCCCAGAACTTATGTTCATATCAAAGTTCAGTTATTCCCCAGTTTCAGTTCTCAATCACAGTTGCTGTTTTTTTTTGTTGTTGTTGTTGGTTGTTTTACTTTCATCTACATTGTTATTTTTTTTTATTCAAATTAGCGAACTTTGAAATTTAATGCAAATGTGTTTAAGAACTTAAACACTACCGAGTTCAGTATTGTTGTAGTATATACCGTCATAACGGTGTAATTCCTGGATGTAATGATCGTACGTTGATTGATTATAGCCTTGATTACATTTAATACTAAAATAAGTTAGTTAGCGCTATGAACTAAGTAACCATTGCAATAAAACACTGATACAAAAAAATGAAATATAGCTTCAATTTAGAAAATAAGATGAATAAAATATTTAAAGATTAACAATTTTATGCTGACTGGAATCTGGATTCTATTGCTTAGCCATAATTTGTGGCTTTACAAAGTGGTTTTACAAAATATTTTGTTATATTACCAGTATGAACCTATTACAGCTAAAAAAATGTCACGAATTGGCACTTTTAGAAGACAACAATAAAATATGAAACGTTGTTGTTATTTTTAATCACACTTGTAATCTACTTTTAAGCATGTTATTCGTAATGAATTTAGAGCTATGACTGAATGTAACTTGGAATAAAACAATTTCTGTAATTTTGAACATGGGTCTTTGATTCACCAAGCTTTAACTTGAACAGTTAAGAACAACTTATGTAAGTACCGAACAAATAACTAAATTTGAACAAGATAAAATCGAAATTACATTTTTAGTTTATTATAAAGAGAAATACAAGTTTACCCGTAATCCTTTACGTTCCCCCTCAGATCCTGAGTCGACCTCCGAGACAAAAACACCTGTTCCATACTCACAACCTGAAATTAAAATATTATGGTACATTTCTTGTTTAAAATTTAATTAAAATGAACTGTTATTATTTACGTATACCAAAATTGGGATCTTTTCTGTTTCATGCACCGCGTTCAAATAGAAAGGAATATATATTTTTGAATGTAGTTTTTAATGCTGATTTCAGAAATATAAATTAAAATTTGGAGAAATGAAAAATAATATTTTTAATATGTTGCTTACGAAACAAAAGAAGTATTTTTAACATTACATATATACCTAGGCATTTAAAAGACATCAAGACAATACAGAGTATCTAATGTGAATGTAACAAATTCATTGTGTAAAATACAGAAATATTCTTAAATATTTGCTTGAAGAAATCATAATTTTCATGCCTACGACGCCAAACGAACTCACATTCTAAGTACTTTCAATTTGCAGCAGATTTTAAGAAATATAAATTTAAAATTGGTAGAACTGATTTTAAAGGGTACA